TCAAACTCTGTAATTTGCAACACTTCTATAGTTCATTATTTACACTGTAAAATAAGCTTTCTTCCTGTGTCTGTTTCTATGTCCAAATTGTATCTGTTCTTTAAGGTTCGACTCACATACCGTGGCCCTCTAAGTTCTTTCCCAATTCACCTATGCCATTTCCTCTGGGGGCGTTTATCTCTCATGGACTCCCTGAGGGTGGGAGCTGAGACTCTGGGTCTCTATATCTGCCTGCAGCACAAGCCATGCTAGCTTGTATGCAACTGTCATAAATTTGATATCAAGAAATTTGATATTATTTAGCAAAATTTTACTTCTTATAACTATGCCTCACATTGGAAAATTTGAGTTTAAAGACCATTTTTAAAGTGAGCCACAAAGCACAATTGGTATCAAATTCTACTATGATCTCATAAGAGTTTATGACTTGTGGATTATTGACAAGACAAACCGGGAGCCATTGAGGTCTTAGTGATCAATCAAGTCTGCATGTTAAAATGCTGTACGGCACTTTGCACAGCTTACTCCGTGAAGTAAACTTTCCTTAAATAAAATTAATTCATTTAAGAATGCTTTCCTGCCACCTTAAAGCATTAATTCAGACCTGAAGAGAACAGTTTTATCTTTTAAAAATGGTATGAGGCAGATAAAGTATGCAGTTATCATACTCACTATTTCATTATTCTCTGGGAATGTCTGGATAGAATATTTTTTCCTTTTGACTCAGGCTGAGATAAGGTGATCTGCATAGCAGCATTAAGAATTTAGTGAGAAACATTTCCCTGGACTCTTTAGTGCAGGGATCGTTTAGTTTTGATCAAACTTGACTAGGTAAGCCTGGTCACAAAGAAAAAGACTGATAGATTGGACCAACGGAAAATCTAAAACATCAGTATAATTCAAAGACATGATTTTAAAATACAAGAAACAGATTAGGAAATAAGTTTAGCAACATGCAAACCAATAATAAAAAGTACCACTCTGAAAAGAAAAAGGATAAATAATTCAACAGAAAATGAGCTAAGGAAATGAACAGGCAAGTCACAGAAGAACATGCAAGAAAGGATGTTCAGGAAAGTAAACATTAGCAAAATACAAGTTAAGACAAAATAATGCCCCCCCCCCCATTCATATGAGAAGCAATATGCAGTAAAGGTTAAGAACATAGACTCTAGAACTTGCCTGGGTATTAACCTTGGTTCTGCCATTGTCTAAGGTGTATGAATTCAGGTCTAGAACTTGCCTGGGTATTAACCTTGGTTCTGCCATTGTCTAAGGTGTATGAATTCAGGTCTAGAACTTGCCTGGGTATTAACCTTGGTTCTGCCATTGTCTAAGGTGTATGAATTCAGGTACTTTATTGGTTGCCCTATCTAAGTGTTCTCATCTTCAAAATGGGGGTTATTAGAGCAACTACCCCATGGAGCAGTAGTGATCATTAAATACGGCAGATGTGTAAAGTGCTTGGAAGAGCATCTGGCACATAATAAATACTGCAGCAGGACTTCTATTATTCATTCCTCACATTGGTTAAATTAAAAAGTTGTTTGAAGGATAAAGGTAATTTTAACCTGGTGGTGGGAATGAAAATGAATACAGCTTTTTTGAAGGACAATTTGGTAAGTACTTTCTCTTTACCAAATGTTCCACTTGAGAAATCTAACCCAGTCACACAGGCACAAAAAGGGGCAAGTTCAAAGATGTGCATTACTTCCTTATTTTATGCCAGAAAGGGAACAATTTAAACGCCCTTCAATAGAGAAGTGAGTGCATTATGTTAAAGACGCTGCAGCGTATGAAGAACTCAGCTGTGAATCAGAATGATGTGGGTGTACATGTACTCATGAACAAAGTGTACAGAACATTTACAGTAACAAGCAAGTGATAGAGTAATATGTACAATATGATCCTGCTTTTATAAAAACATGCAACATATACACATGGATAGATGTATGAGTATTATGGACATTTACATTTTATTTTATTTTTTTATTTGAAAAGGGGAGAGAGCAGAGATATTCATCAGCTGGGACTGGGCCAGGCTGAAGTCAGGAGCTGGGAAGTCTAACTGGACCTCCCACATGGGTGGCAGGGAGCCAAGTGATTGAGCCATCAGCTGCTCCCGCCTATGGTGTGCAAAGCTGGAACTGGGAGCAGAGCTGGGGCTTGAACCCAGATACACTGATATGGCAGACAGGCGTCCCAAGTGGTGCTATGACAGCTCTGCCAAGTATCTGCCCCTGGATTTTAAATGAGGTTGGAAAATACACTAAGAGTTAATGAGGTTATTTATGTGGGGAGATGGGCAAGATGAAAAGGAACTGTAATTTTATTCTCGCTACTTAGATACTAAAACTTTCTATCCAACAATGAACACTTAGGCACATTCTGTACAATTTATACATTGGGGAAAAAAAGGCTGCTTACTGCATTTGATTACCATTTCTGTAGATTGGATATAAAAATAGAAATGGTTTGCTATTAAACACTATATTCCATTTTGGAAGAAAAGGCATGACTTCTTCAATCGGTACATATGACCCAAGAAATCCAGAGGTCCTTGGAAAATCTGGTCACACCATAAGGGCACTAATTCAAATAACCCAGTTGATTAATACCTTGTACCACAGTTCTAGTTTTCTGTGTCTTCAGATGACTGAAGATAAGAAATTCTAATTTTTAAATGTAATACATTTAAATTCTAGTTAGTACATCCTGATGCAAGAATACAGTTTTGGAAAATTCTCTGTCCAGGAACCTCTGTAATGCGAATGGATTTTTTTTTACAAAAAGGATTATCTAATATTTGAAATCTAGTAGTACTGTTTTATTGTGCCATGTTTAGGATGCACAGATACTGCTACTGACTGAAGCATAGCAGCATGGAAATCATATATTATAAATTTAGGTCACTGGAAAAGCTAACAACGCAGCAACTATGTAAGAGCAATATAAGAGACTCCAGGAGAATATAATCTCTTAGTAATTCAATCAAAGAATTCCCATGGGCTATCTAAAACAACATGGAATTGGAGCAAGCACAGAAGGTAATATTTAATACAGAGTTAAGAAATAAAATATATGTATAAAAAACCCTTCTCCTTGTCTTCCAATTTTTCCACATGATCCTGCAGAGTTTAAGAAACTGGCTATTGAATGTTTAATTGCTATACAACATCCTTTTTTTTTTTTTTTTTAAGAGTTAGTTATTTGAAAGGCAGAGTTACAGACAGAGGGACATGGATACACACACACATATAAACACACATTTATCTTCTATCCACTCATTCACTCCCCAAATGAACACAATGGCCAGGGTGGGGCCAGACTGAAGCCAGGAGCCAGAAACACCATCTGATTCTCCAAAGTGGGTGGCAGGGGACCAAAAACTCGGGCCATCTTTTGCTGCTTTCCTAGAAGCTTTAGCAGGGAGTTGGATTGGAAGCGGAAAAGCCGGGATATGAACTTGCACTCATAGAGGATGTCAGCATCACAGGTAGTGATTTGACCTGCTGCGCCACAATGCCAGCCCCAACATCTTTGTTCTTAAAAAGTCTATATTCTAAAGAAAATCTGACATTCTATATTAGTGAGATTTATCTACAACTCAAAATATTTTTAATTCCTGGAATGTTGAAAACTGTAGAATAATAATAAACTAAGGATAATATATGAGAAGAAAATCAATTTTTTAACAATTACTTTAAAATAAACAGACATGAAACAGATAATTAGCAATACAATTACACATCAAACTGGAATGGACTTGTAACCTCAAAGAGCATCTTCAGCACGGTTCAGAGACAAAAAGCGCTAATACAACGGCACTCCCTCATCGAGTCAGGATGGAGGACAAGTTCCTTCATCTCAAGCAAGGGCAGTAGTTCTCTGCATGGTAAAGCAATGATTTTTACTTCTGTTAGGCAGATAAGTGAAAATAATGCATTTCACTTAGTGAAAGTAAGACAAAACAAATAACAATAAAAAACACCTCAAAGTATAAAATAAGGATATCAAATATGGAGAGGCAGACTCGAGTTAAAATTCAAGCTTTACTATTTGCTATCCGTGTGACCTAGGCAAACGTCTCAATGTCTTTATACCTCAGTCCCTCACATATAAAGTGAGGTAATAATAATATCTGGGGTTGCTGTAAATCAGAGATTACATTTAAAGTACTTTGCACATACATAGTAAGCACTTAATAAATATCAGTGTTTGTGATGATGTGCTTATACAAAAAGCACTATTTCCAAAATTTTGAAGATTATGGAGACATGAAATACTAAAAATATGTCTTAGGATACACTTAACAGCTTTAGAAGGATGTTATCCTCAGTGAGCTATATGTCTGAGGTTTACCCAAATTAGTAGTGCTAATTACTGAAATCCATGCTTCCTTTTCATTGTATGTCTTTTAGATGTAACTGTAGACTAACAACACTGCTCCTATATGCTGTACACACAGAACAAGAAAACAGTGAAGAACAGTCTCTGCAGTCAAATCGCCCAAGTTCAAATGTGGTTTTTGCTATTTACTGGTTATATGTCCATAGGCAATATTACTCAACTTCGCTGCACCTCAGATTCTTCATCTATAAAATAGGGACAATAATAGTACTTATTACATAGTGTCATTATCATGATTAAACAAGATAATGTATATAAAGCATCCAGTACAGTGCTCAAAAAATGTTGGCTATTGTCATCTTCATCCTACCAATTAAAAAGGATACACCTCTGACTACTAGAGCTTGATGCCATAGAAACAGCACTGGTTCTTAAATTACTTCTCATGCATCCACAAGCTCTTCCATATTGTAAGATTTTTAAACTGGTTAGGCATTTGAGCCAACAATTTATATCTTACTATGAACAATACAAAAAAGTAACTTTTGTATTGGATCTAATTGTCTTGATGCAAGGTTAGGGAAGAACAAAACGCCTCATCAAATTCCACTCTGAAGCTGCTTTCTGTTTTAAGCACATCAGCTTCCTACCTGTCATCTGTGTTACGAAGGGATGGAAGCCGGAAACTCGTGTTTCTGTCAAGCTTTGATTGGCTTTTGGTCCTCTTGATGGAGCCTTTCAGACGCTTGCTGAAGAAACCCTGGAATGAAAAGGTAGATGGTGATGGGAGAGAGAACCAAAAATAGAATCTTACTCTTCTGCACTGTCCACTGTCTTTGCAAAAGAATTTAGACTTTTGCATTAGCTTAGATTTTTCTAATAAAGAGCATAAAGCAAACCTAGCTTTTAGTTTGTTATTTTATAAATTATAATTGCTTGAAAAAAGCTGGTAATGTGATGACAATTTTTTTTCTGCAATAACTGGGATAATTAAAATTGATGACATACAAAATTGACAAATGGGATTACATCAAGTTGAGAAGCTTCTGTACTGCAAAAGAAACAATCAGCAAAGTAAAGAGGCAACCGACAGAATAGAAGTTATCTGCAAATTATGCAACTGATAAAGGATTAATAACCAGAATATATAAAGAGATCAAGAAATTCAACAAGAACAAAACAAACGACCCAGTTAAGAAATGGGTAAAGGAGTTAAACAGGCATTTTCCAAAAGAGGAAATCCAAATGGCCAACAGTCACGTGAAAAAATGCTCAGGATCAGTAGCCATCAGGGAAATGCAAATCAAAACAATGAAGTTTCACCTCACCCTGTTAGAATGGCTTTCATATAGAAATCAACAAACAACAAATGCTGGTGTGGATGTAGGGAAAATGGTACCCTAATCCACCGTTGGTGGGAATGTAAACTGGTAAAGCCACTGTGGAAGACAGTATGGAGATACCTCAAAAATCTGAATACAGACTACCATATGACCCAGCCATCCTACTCCTGGAAATTTACCCAAGGGAAATGAGATCATCATGTGAAAGAGTTATCTGTACCCCTGTGTTTATTGCAGCTCAATTCACAATAGCTAAGACATGGAATCAACCCAATGTCTGTCAACTGAAGACTGGATAAAGAAATTATGGGATATTTACACCATTGAATACACACAGTGGTAAAACAAACAAAATTCTCTCATTTGCAACAAAATGGATGAAACTGGAAAACATCATACTAAGTGAAATAAGCCAGTCCCAAAAGGGCAAATACCATATGTTCTCCCTGATCTGTGATAACTAATAGAGCACCTAAAAGGTAATCTACAGAAGTGAAATTAATACTTCGAGATTCAATGACTTTGAATAGCCCTTGTCCACTGCTGAAGAGCAATTTTTTTTGCATACAATTTGTGGAATTCTTTACTTAGTACAGAGTTACTCATATATGTATAAAGTTAATTGAAAATAGATCTTAGTAAAAAATAAGAACGGGTACTTGTATACTGGAGGAACTGAAATATTCTGCTACTAAGAAGAGAAGTTTTATTATAAGGGCTGTAAAAATAAAGATAACTAAGTAGCATAAGGTAATGTGGTGGTAAGCTTAAAAGTGTTAACATCTAATCCAGCTCACCAACAGATACAGTATTTAAGAGTTAAGCTTTAAATATAGCCAAATTATTATAAAAGAGATCATTTTTTTAATAATTAAAGCAGTTGGACTTCAAAGAACAAAGTGCTTCACAGTCTTAGATCCCTGCTTGCTTCCAGCTACTTCCTCCAATCTTTCTGGAGTCCCCTGAACGTCTTCTTGGATGCAGCATCTGAAATAAATGCATCCTCAACAAAATCTGTTGACAAAAGGATACATACTGTAGTGAGGGCTACTACTTTTAAGAATCTTACAATACTAATATTGGCAGGTGGAAGGATACTTACAGAAGTATTTTAAAACGCCTTGGGGAAAAGCTTAACTTCAAAGAAAAAGATGTTGACATGTAAAAATGACTCTGTGTGATCATCTTGAGATGAATATTATCATAGACAAGTATGTACAATAAATATTCCCTCCCCAAAAGAATACGGGGCCAACCCATCAGATCTTTTATACTTTAGTTGCCATCAGAACTCACTGTTTTGATGTGAAGACTACACTCCTCCATAAAGTAGGCTATGCTGAGACCATACCTCTCATAATCCTTGTGGCATAATACATGCTCCATGTCCCTGAGCAAGTTAGCTGAGAGGGTGAGGTCCTACTCTACGTAGTCTTTACTTCGTAGCACAAGAATGGAGACTCCATTTCTGTGCTTCCATAGTTACTGCAGTACGATAAAGGTAATGCAGCAAATCATGTACTAGTTTTTAAAGTTTCACGTTACTTCTGTTCTCATTTCATTAGACACAAAAAGTCACAGCACTGCCCTAACTTAAAAAGGGAAGGGTTGAACAATCCTACCACATACCTAGGAAGAGAACCAGAAATAGCTGGTGAACACCAGTATAGACTACTATAATGCTTTACCAACTCAAGTGTTTTTCAAACTCATGTGTTACTCCTTTAATTAGAGAAAAATATAAACAAACATTTGAATAGAACTATTGAGGTCACTGAAGAAAAATACTTACATTACATCTTGTTCTTGCCACCCAAAGAGTAATTGTAAAAACTCACAGAAAATAGCACACAGGCTTTCCCTAGATTCTTGTTTACTGTAGCTTATTACAGGTGTATAGAAACTGGAGGGGGAGAGAAAAAGGCTATTTTAAAAAGTATTGTATTTCTTAGAAAGAGGCATTTGCTGCTCATCCTATACAATCTCAGCACCATCAGAGACAATCACTGTCATTAGCCCTCCAGCATAAAGACTTTCTCTATTATTTTCTATGGGACATAAGTATAGATTATAGAATTCTAGTAGGATTGTTGGGGTTGGTTAAAAAAACCACTGCCCTAAGCTGAGATCTAGCTCAGGGACCTGACTGAATATAATATATAAGTACTTTTCTTTCTTTTTTTTTTTTTGAAAAATAGTTTTTCATTTTGAAATAGATTTAAGCAAAGTTACAAAGACAAGACAGAGTTTCCATATACCTCACACTCCATTTCCCTTATTTTTTTCCCAAAGAAATATTTTATTTAATGAATACAAATTTCATTGCCGGCGCTGCAGCTCACTAGGCTAATCCTCTGCCTTGCGGCGCCAGCACACCGGGTTCTAGTCCCGGTCAGGGCGCCGGATTCTGTCCCGGTTGCCCCTCTTCCAGGCCAGCTCTCTGCTGTGGCCCGGGAGTGCAGTGGAGGATGGCCCAAGTGCTTGGGCCCTGTACCCCATGGGAGACCAGGATAAGTACCTGGCTCCTGCCATCAGATCAGTGTGGTGCGCCGGCCATAGTGCGCCAGCCATGGCGGCCATTGGAGGGTGAACCAACGGCAAAGGAAGACCTTTCTCTCTGTCTCTTTCTCTCACTGTCCACTCTGTCAAAAAAAAATTACAAATTTCATAAGTATAACTTGAGGAATATAGTGATTCTTCTCACTATACCCACCCTGCCACCTCCACTCCCACCCCACCTCCTCCTCCCTCTCCCATTCCCAGTCCCATTCTCCATTAAGATTCATTTACAATTAACTTTATACAACAATTTGCACACATACACACACACAAAAACTGTTTGAGAAAAAGTTTTACTGTTAATTCTCATAATGTAACTCATTGCAATAGAAGTCCTGCATGGGGAGTAAGTGCACAGTGACTCCTGTTATTAATTTAACTCTTATGCATCATGTCAGGGATCACCCGAGGCCCCTGACATGAGCTGCCAAGGCTATGAAAGACTTTTGAATCCACAATCTCCATCAGTATTTAGGCAAGGCCATAAGCAAAGTGGAAGTTCTCTCCTCTTTTCAGAGAAAAGTACATCCTTCTTTGATGGTCACTTCTTTCCACTGAGGTCTCTCTCACAGAGATCCTTCATGTAGGACATTTTTTGCCACAGTGTCTTGGCATTCCATGCCTGAAATGCTCTCATGAGCTTTACAGCCAGACCAGAATGCCTTAAGGGCTGATTCTGAGGTCAGAGTGCTGTTTAGAGTGATTATCATTCTGTGAGTCTGCTGCATGGACTGCTTCCCATGTTGGAACATTCTCTCCTTTTTAATTCTATCTATTATTATTGCCAGATATTTGATCTTATTTATATGATCCCTTAAATATTAATCCTATCTATATGATCACTTTAACACTTAATATGGTCACTTTAATATTTAAGATAGCATTTTTACCACCCTTTCTAACAAAATGCGGTTGTGTATTACACTGAGAATACACTGACAGATGCTCACTTATTTACCACTTTACCTTTACCTTTTTGTGACACTATATCATACAGTATATTTTAATACATTACTTAGTAAAATTTAATTTAAATTTTTGTATAGAACTATACCAGGAACTATAATGAAAGATAAAGCACATGGAGTTGGTAATTTCAGTATTTAAATACTAAACATAAATATATACATAGGCTTATATATATACACACACACATATATATATATATAAATACAAATATGCATGTAGACTGGACATCGCTGAGGAAAGAATTTCTGCACATGAGGATGTATCAACAGAAACCTCCAAAACTGAAAAACAAAGAGTGTAAAAACTGGAAAATCAGAACAGAATATCCAAAGACCATGGGATAATTGTTAACAGGTGTCACATGCTTGCTACCCAGCATCCCATATGCAACTGCTAGTTTGAGTGCTGGCTACTCTGCTCCTGATCCAGCTTCCTGCTAAAGTTCCTGGGAAGGCAGCAGAAGATGGTCTTAGCTCTTGGGCCCCTGCCACCTGTGGGAGACTTAGATGGAATTCCTGGCTCCTGGCTTCTGCCTGGCCTACGATTGTGGCCACCTGGGGAGTGAAACAGCAGGTGGAAGATCTCTCTCTGTCCCATCTTTTCTCTGTTGCTCTGCCTTTCAAATAAACAAATAAATAAATCTTTTTTTAAAAAAAAGGAGAGGAGAAAAAGAACTAGGGAAAGTAACTAAAATGACTGAGATTTTTCCCAAATTAATGTTAGACACCAAACCACAGATTAAGGAAACTCAAAGAAAAGCATGCAGCATACATGCCAAACAAATACACTACTCCTAGGCCTATCATTTTCAAATTACAGAATATCAAAGATAAAAAAATTATGAAGGAAGTGGGGGAGGAGGGATACTTTACAGTGGAACAAAGAATTA